GAAGAAGGGTGGCTGGGGCAAGTCACTTAACTTTTTAGGATCTCAGGCTTTGACTTCCCACATGGAAATTAATGGGCCACGCTAGATAATGTCTGAAGTACTTTTGAATTTTTGATCTTTTGTTATTCTACACAACCTTCTGTTCTTCCCAAACTGTGTGATTCCTTGAACATCCTTTCTAAACTCCATACTACAGAGTATGATGTACAAGTTCAACGCTAATAATAAGTAGTATTTATATAGTACTTACAATATGTTAGACACAGTTCTTGTTTTTTTTTTTTTTTAAGGAAGATTACCCCGAACTAACATCTGCCACCAGTCCTTCCCTTTTTGCTGAGGAAGGCTGGCCCTGAGCTAACATCCATGCCCATCTTCCTCTACTTTATATATGGGGTGCCTGCCACAGCATGGCTTCACAAGTAATGTGTAGGTCCACATCTGGGATCCAAACCAGTGAACTCCAGGTCGCCGAAGTGGAACGTGAGAACTTAACCGCTGTGCCACTGGGCTGGCCCCTAGACACAGTTCTATATTACATATTGTAAGTAGTTTGAGCACCTTATAGGAAAAACTATTATTTATTTACTCCCATTTTACAGATGAGAGAACTGACACCCAGAAAACTTACATGTCATACCTAAGGTCTCACAGATCCTAAGAGACAAGGCTAGGATTTGAACCTAAGCAGTCTGGCTCCAGAGTTTGTGCTGACTTGTTTTAGAGACAACTGTCTGTACAAAGTGGATTTCACCTTTTATATTTATTTGTTTTTTATATTACTCCCTTTCCAAAAGGTTTTGAAGTGACTTACAGATTTACACACTATACCACATACAAAATATTTGAATAAGTAAGAGGGAGGGAAAATTGATGAATAAGGTCAACACCAAAAATCTTCCAGACACTTTACTAAATGTGGGCTTAATATTTGGCTCTGGGTGTTCTGGTAGTGAATGCAAAAAATAAGGAAAAAATCACCCAAAAACCTCTATCCATTTGTGACAGGATTTGGACAAACTATTTTTAAGACTCTCCATTGAGTTGTAGGAGTTTCTTATATATTTAGGAGATTAACCCCTCATCAGGAATGTGGTTTGCAAATATTTTCTTCCATTCCAGAGGTTGCCTTTTCCCTCTGTTGATTGTTTCCTTTGCTGAGCAGAAGGTTTTTAGTTTCATGTACTCCCATTTGCTTATTTTTGTTTTTGTTGCCCATGCTTTGGGTTTCATATCCATGAAATCATTGCCAAGACCAATATCATGAAGGTTTTCTCCCGTGTTTTCTTCTAGCAGTTTTACTATTTCAGTTCTTACATTTAAGTCTTTCATCTACTTTGAGTTGATTTTTGTGTACGGTGTGAGATGAAGGTTTAATTTCACCCTTTGGCATGTGGCTATACAGTTCTCCCAACATTTGTTGACGATGATAGCTTTTGCCCATTGTGTATTCTTGGCACACTTATTGAAGACTATTTCTTCCTATTTTTAATGATAATAAAATTTGTCAACACTTGGTTCCTCCTCCTTTCCTTCCTTCCCCTTTGCCATCTAATTTTAATTGAGTATATTCTTTTTCTCAGATTTTATCTTCATATCTTTAAATATAGCCTTATACCCCTATTACTTGATTTATTGGTTTTATTAAATACTCTTCTTCAAACGCAAGCTATCAAATGACTGGAAAGCAGCATATTCATCTCTCTATCCCACCTTCTCTCCAATTTCTGCTCTTGGCTTCTGTCTAATTATTTCAGTTCTGTATTTTTGGGGTTTATTCTATGTACAGATTGTTCTACATCCATAATTTCTCTTTGGCAAAGTCCTGTAGTTCAGTATATTTAAAGCTCACCTTGAATTCCTTCCCTATGATATTTCCCTTTAAATAAATTATTTTCTGACGGGATTTTTTAAATCAAGAAATTTCTTTAAGAAGCGTTAATGAGAGTTTTAGTCCCTGAATTCTCACATGTCCAGGATTTTTGTTACCTTTACTTTTGAATGGCAGTATATCTTGGTATAAATTTTGTGTGTTTAATGTTTTCTTTCCTTGAGGACTTTGTGGAGAGTACTCAGCTGCCTTCTTGCACTAATCGCCTTCTAGAACTGATGTGGAATGATAAGATGGTCTGTGGCCAGCCAGATTTTCCCTCTTGTGATGATACGACTTTTTGATTGACTGTCTACATGTTTGTTTATTACAAAGATAAACAACTTGTCCTCAGTACCCTTAGTTTCAGTGTTGACTTCCTCTTCTAGTGTTTACTGGGACATAGTCAACCCCTTCAAGCTGTAGAGACATATGTTCTTATATTTTGGGAAAATTTTCTTTAAATATATTGTTAAACTTTTTTTTTTTGTCTTTTATCATATTGCTTCTCTTCTTTGGGAACACCAATTAAACTTTTTGAACATTGTCTCCATCTTAATTTTGTTTTACTTGTTTTTTCCCAGTCCCATGTTCTCCATGTTCTACTGTAATTTCCTTCATGTTGCTATAGACTGGACTTCGTTTTAGGATTAATTTTGTTCTTCTTTTTCTTGAGTTTTACTTCATTTTTTTTTTCCTCCTCTTCCTATATTTTCCCTAAACTCTTTTATCTCAGCTTTGAGATCTTGTTTTATAGAGGCAATAGCTTAAGTTTTTCTTTTATTAAGTTCATGATAATGCGTTTACTTATAGTTTTAATATGCTGTTTGGCTGTTTAATTCTGATGACTGTGTATTCATCTGCCATTTTTGTTCTCTATTCCTGCTTGTATTGATCAGTTTGAGCTACCATAACAAAACACCATTGACTGGATGCCTTAACAGAAACAGAAATCTATTTTCTCACAGTCCTGGAGGCTGGAAGGTGGGGATCAGCGTGCCAGCATGGTTGAGTTCCAGTGAGGACTCTCTTCCTGTTTTGCAGATGGCCACCTTCTTACTGTATCTTGACATAAAAGATGTGAAGGCACAGAGAGAGAGAGAGAGAGAGAGAGAAAGAGGGAGAGAGAGAGAGAGGGTGAGCAATCTCTCTGATGTCTCTTTTTATAAGGGCACTAATCACATCATGGCGTCCCCACCCTCATGACTTCATCTAAACCCAATCACCTCCCAAAGGCCCCGTCTTCAAATACCATCATATTGAGCATTAGGGCTTCACTATATGAATTTGGGGTGGGAGGAGGACACAAACATTCAGTCCATAACTCGTTCCTTCTTTTCTTTTGTACCATCTTTGTATATACACTGTACTTGCTCATTTTTAACTTTATTGACAGTATAACGTGTCCGAGTGTGGTTTGCAGAATCCTGGCAGTCCCTAAGAACTTTTTTAGGGTGACTGTGAGATTAAAACTATTTTGATAACAATGCTAAAGTCTTATTTACTTTTACATTGCTTTGACATTTGTACCAATGGTACAACAACAATGGTGATTTAAACTACTGGTGCCTTAGTATGAATTAAGACAGTTACCAGAATGTACTGGTGGACTTTGTAGTCTTCACAGCCACAAAATCATGCTTTAAAAAAATTCTCAGTTTTAGTTTTTTATAAGAATGTTCCTAATACAGTGGAAATGGCTGTTAATTTTACAAAATCTTGTCCCTTGAATACATGTCTTTATAATAGCCTGCACAACGAAATGGGAATTACGCATAAGGCACTTCTGATGAATATGAAAATATGATGGTTGTCTCAGAGAAAATGAGCTCCTTGTTCATGGAATACCATCTTCACATAAAAGAATAACTGACAGAGAAACTGAGGTTATTCAGATTTGAGCAATTGGGTAGATATTTTCCTGAAAATGAATCAAGTGAGCCTGTCACATCAATGAAGATAAGTGGCAATGTTTGTTGCCAATGGAAAAAAACCAAATTTTCAAGAAAGAATTAGAACTTTGGAAAAACTTTATTCAGCATTCTGAGCTTGACATCTTCCCAAAACTTAAGGACTTTTCTTATGAGTTCAGTAGTGATGTTAACAATATGATCTTCCAATCATGCACAACAAAATGTGTCAACATTTAAAATACCTGCATTATTCAGTGAACCAAATGATCAACGTATGATGTTGCAAAATCATGCATGGGTAAAAGGCTCATTCAAAGTACAAGTGAGACCAATGGATTTTAATAGAATAGAGTAAGAAAAGTTCATTGTTGTGGTTTCGTATTCCACACTGCAACTATTCCTTAAGAAACTATAACTTTTCAAGTTTTGTCATGTTTTTTGTATTAAAGAAGAATTTCCACAATTATTTGAAAAGGTTTATATTAAAATGCTGCTCCTTTTCCAACTGCATATTGTGTAAGGCCAGATTTTCTTCATATACTTCCACCAAAATAACATCTCAACAGATTGAATGCAGAGGCAGATATTGGAATCCAGCTTTTTTCTATTAATCCAGACACTAAACTATTTGAAAAACGTAATATAATGTCACTCTTCTCACTAGTCATTTTCTTGATCTGGGAAATATAGTAATAGCTCATTAAAAATTTCTTATTGATGTTAGAATTTAATGGGTCTATTACTGTTAATTTGAAATGAATTAATAATTTTTAAATCCCTTGGCATTTATTTCTAACGTGGTAAGTGTTAATAGATAGAGTCCCCCAAAACAAAAGTTCTTCGGGATCCTTAATAATTTTTAAAGTATGACAAGGTCCTGAGACTGAAAAGTTGGAGATTTGCTGGTACAGTCGTTAAGAGTGTGGACTCTGGGACCAGATTGTCTGGGCCCAAATATGTGTGTGAGTTCTTAAGTTTTTATTCCTTCCTAGTGAACTGAGATGAATTCTTTCTAGTTTCACCATGAATTTTGAATTTTACTTTAATACTCATTCTCTCATTTTTCTTGCCACTTTTGGGACATTTTCAAGAAGAAAATTTGAGACAAACAAACAAGTCTTTACTCCACATGTTAGGCTAAGCATTTGTTTTAATATTAGCAAATTCTGTGTTAACACAATGCATGGATTACATTATTTTTACATTCTGAATGTGTGCTTTGACATGCTGAATACACAGCTATCATAGAAAGGAATAATGTAGAGATTTTCTCTTATTATGAAATCATGTTTGTGGCTTGATACTCTTCTCTCACCCAACTAAGCATAATGTATGACCTAAAGTGGTTCCAGCTTATGTCACTGTCCTCTAGGTCTAGCCACGTGTATCCTATGGAAACAGCAAAGCAAAGCAAACATTTTCTTCCAAAAAGCTCTGTCTTCTGATCCTCATTCCAAGATTACCAAGTGTGAGTTCCAAGCTGTATATCTCCTTTTCTTCCCCAGAAATCACATCATTCATCTGATCCGGGCTATATCTCTCCCAGCAAGATATGTATGAAGAACGGAAAAGAAATGATTAGAAACATTAAAATAGAAAAGAAAAATTGGATGATTTTGAGAAAGGTATTTAATCAAAATAACTTCACTTGGTTATACACCTTCGCTTTTCTCTGATGTTTTAAGACTTAGCAAACGTGGTTTTAATTTTGAATAGTACCTGTTATTAAATGATTTTCCACCAAACCAAAAAAAAAAATACGTAATGGCTTCCAGCTTCAGGGCAGCTTCAAGAAACACGAGAGATTTCAGAGCCCTGGAGGATAATGAAATGCTAGGAAAACTTCAAAGAAAACCTCCAAGAAGAATGCTCAAATTCACATCTTGAGCTCTCTTGGCTATTTTTCTGACCACGAGAGAGGTCAGCCTTACTCAACCACAGAAACAGGTGAAAAAACGGAGAGTTAGCATAGCAGAACAATTTCCACTGCTGTATTTCGGGTTGCTTTTTACCTCCCTTCCAACAAATCTAGCCGTAGAACATCATTAATCTCTCTTCTTCTACACTGGAAGCAGAATGGGTGGCAAGCTGAGATTCAATCAAATTGTTTAATCATTGTTCTCTTGTGTGGCAGTGACACATGGTTGGGGGGCTGCTGCCGATTTGATGGGGGACAGGCCAGGCAGGGCTTTTAAGCCTCTGTGGACAGCCTTGTTCATGCTTCTTATTCCTGATCATTAAGGGGAGCTCAGGAGAGGTTGTCAACTATGGTGAGTTTGGATTTGGTTTTTTAATTAGGATGGCTGTCAACTAGGCACAAATATGAGATTGAGGACCAACTCTATTGGTGTAGGTAGGTAATAAAATAAATGATAGCGTCAACAATTAGGAGAGCTGGAGAATGGGAATTTCCTGCCAGAGAAAACCAATTTGACTGGGAGAAGAAGGTGTTGGGAGGAACTGGTTGGGTCATTTCTCTATAAGGATTCATTCAGAGCTAGAACGTTCTCTGCCCCTGCTTTGAAGGGACCGGTCACATTCCTTCTTTGAGAGGATAGTGGAGACTTCTGAAACTCCAAAAAGTGGGATTAGGGAATTCAACCCTCACCTTTAGATCCAACGTTTGCTGTTCACATTTTTAGGGACCCGGCCACTGCGTATATTGGAATTCTGTGCTGCCATGAAGGTGACTATGGAAAACAAAAACCTCCACAGGCAGGAGTGAAAGAAAGGGAAGGGCAATGAGGTGGTTTTAGGTGGAGGAGGAAGCTGAGTTATGGAAATTTCAGTGAGAACTGACAGCTTACGACATATCATCCCAATGTCCCTGGTCAGGAATAAATGATGGTTCCATCAAAGTATATGACTATGAGTCTTGGAACCCCACACATTTGAGTTCTAATCCCAACTCCACCACTTATATTAACCAGGTGTTGGGTATATGAGAGCTCCCTGTACCATCTTCACAATTTTTCTGCAAGAATAAAACTATTCTAAAATAAAATATTTATTTTAAAATTTTGATACCCCTTGCTCAAAAGGCAGGATAGGGTTAGGGGAACGGGTGGACAAAAACCTGTCTCAGGGAAGCAGGAAGGCAAGGAGATGGTAGGAAATGGACCCAGTATGAACTAAGGTTCCAAGTCCTTGGCACATGCTCTGTTCTCCCAGTGGGCTTCATTTACATAACTAAAATTCAAATATAAAATCATTAAGAATTTCAAGTTGGCAACTGCAGGGCATGAAGCCCCAGCACAAGGTCCCCTTCTGAGCATGGGGTCCTCTACAACTGCACTGGTCACATGATCATGATGTTGACCCTGACCCAAGTATGTTCTTGGCCTCACCAGCCATTCCACTGTCTCCCACAAAGAAAAGTGTAGGACAAACCAGTGTCTGTGATTTACAGCAGGAATTCTTAATCTTTTTTGTTCCATGGACTCCTTTGGGAGCCTGATGAATCCTACTGACCTCTTCTCAGAATAATTTTTAGTATGTTCAGTACATTTTGTGCAGTACCTTTAAAATACGCCCCTTTGCAACACATGATCATAGTTTTCTTTACAGACTCTTGCATAGTGTAACTGACTAACAATCAGATAATTCTGTGCCCAGTTGTCCTTTTCCACCAAATGGTTCATCTGCGTGTTATATTGGTGATGCAAACTTCTATAATGCATTCCATATACCCTATCTTATAATAATGTGTTGACCAATATTTGGATAGAGTTTAGTCAAAGGCCATTCCACAGCACAATATTCTTATTCAAGTTAAGCAACAAGAGAGTTTACTCAGAAAATCCCTTAAAATAAACATGACTCTGAAGCGTTGGAATTTCAATTGTCTTGGAGAGTGTAAAGGAGAACTGAATTCATAACTGGCTGAGTTCCCTCAGTTTGGCTGAAATTATATGATTAAAAAACAAAGAGAAAAGGGGAGAGCATATAAACGAGAATCAAAATAAAAGGAGGTAGAAGAAAACACTTCATTTTCTGAAATTTCTAGAACAACATTATAAGGATGAAAATAAAATAGAAGGAATTGCTAAGTTTCAAAGAAGTTAGCAAAAAATGAAGAGACAATATTTACCATCTAAATTAATGTAATTCTATCCATGGACAGCCCCAAGGGTTGACAACCTTCCTTTATTGAGTATGCAAGAAAGAGTCCCAAGATGGGTAGTCACGGACACTCCCACCCCAGCATCCTCTTGTTCCATGTGCAATGGAACACTTGACTGATACATCTGGTCATAACAGAATGGACTGCCAGGTCACTGACAGCTAGGCCTGTAATTCCAGATGGTGATGGAAGCACCAAAATTGCCTCCCGGGAAGGTGGTACTGAAGAACTGGCTGTAAAATGCATGAGTAAGGTGAGCATCAAGAAGACTCTCTTGAAGTATCAGTGTAGTGTGACTATTGGACTGATTGCAGAAGCCCAAGCCCAGCTCATTTCTGTATGACCTGTGCTGTTGAGTCCTGAGCCCTATTTGTCGGCCTTCAGTCAGGACTGCAAAATGCATCTAGGAGAGAAGATAAAAACTCATTTTCCAGTCTTTTCATTCCTTGGAGGAGCACCATCATTTCTCATTCATATCAATTCTTTCATCTGAGGATCGTGAAGTGTGACCTCAAATGTTTTCCAGATGCCTAATGGAATGTGTGTTGGAGGAAAACAACTTTATTTTGTTTGGTGCATAAATTCAGCTGTTACTTATATTACAGAAGAAAACAAACAAATGGAATCTGAGAACATCTTTTCTACTATATACCACTTTATATAAAAAGTAAAAGATATACAGTAATATATAGTCAAATGAAAATGTTACTCAGGAAAAAAAAATACTTTATTTGTAATTCTCTTTCTCTGGCTATTTTTGGTCCTAAGCATGAACCACCTAGACCCTTTTCGAAGTTCTTCAGCTAACTAGCTTATTTCTGATTTAATAATAAAATTATCTTTTTGTTCTCATCTCAATCCTACCTGAACACTTTAATATTGCTTAGTGACTTTTTACTTAACTATAGTACTTGATACACTTTGGTTCTTATAATGTTAAAGATCTATACCCTACTTACTTTCAAAATGGCTCAAGGCAGCTAGTACCCTTTATTAGTGTAAGCGGGCCATGGCGATTTTTCTCCCTGTCTATGGCATGAAATCCTGTCTCTCTCCATGAATATAAATTATCTCACTTCCTGCTTATGCAGCTGATGAAGAGGTCATGAAACTCAAAGGAAAAGCATTCCCCAGTTCTTCAATCTGACATCACTAATTCCCTGCCTTTTTGAGACTTGGCAGTCAAAGTGTAAGGTAATATCTTAAAGAGGAGAAATCCCAACCTCACATAAAGTTAACTTTCTATACTGCCACAATGTGACACGATGTTCCCCCACCTATAAAATCCTTTGAGTCATCAGGGTCCTTATTTACTCAGTAATTCTGTTATTTAATAAGAAGTGTTGTCTGAAGGCTAATTTATAAAGTTGCAGGAAACACACTGACTTCAAGTCCTAAAGCCGCCATATTTTTTATGCTCTAGGTGCTGAAGAAAATGAAAATAATATATGTGAAAGTGCTTCTGGCTGACACATGTAGGTGTTTCCTCACTGATTTCTCCCCAAATGTTCTATCCCAAGTGTTATGAACTCATTTCTGCCTCATCTGGGCCATATTTCAGTGCTTACATGACAAGAAATCCTTCAAAATAGAGCTTCCACTTTAAGACAGAAACACCAGGGAGATGAGGCAAGTAGGGAGAACATGAGAAATGTTTAAACCCTGGACCTGGCTTTCACTAGATTCCTAGTGGTTTCAACCTACTCACTTATTTGGTGGTAAGACGAGAACTACTGCATGGATAACTTAAATAATGTTCACATTAATATTTCTCTAATTCCTAAAGTGTCCTTGGGAACGATTTCATAGGACAATGAATTTAAAAATTCAGGAATAAATATTACTACTATTCTTCAGCGGAATCTTAACTGCTTGAAAAAAGTGGAAACTTTTTTTATATCAATATTTTTATTGCTAGTTGTCCAAGAAAAGAAACTCTAAGAAGTGGATTCCAATGGGTATGTCTGGAAGATCCATAGCTATTTTCCCCATCAATACAATAACAGCAACAGTAATAACACCAAAGCGACAGCAATACTGATGATAGCTGCTACCACTGAGTACCCACTTTGCATTAGGCTCTGAGCTGTATGCAGTATTATTTCTTTTTTATCTTGGTATGTAAACTACGGAATAAAAACTCAGACAATTTGAATGCATTGCCAATGACACACAGCTAGTTAATGGCCAAATAAGCATTTCAACCATATGGATCTGGTTTCACTATGCTTTCTCCATCCTCCTCTCTACCATGACAACGTTTTTGTAAGTTTGCCAAGGCATGGGTAGAGAAAACATTTTAACTAATGGTCAGAGCTCTCAGAGATTCTATTAACGATAACAATAGTAACAATAGGGTGTGGCCCCCCCCACCCCGTCCTCTGCCTCCCCCCTTCACGTCCCCCACTATCAACCTCAAGAAATTTTCTTGGTTAGTCAGGACTTAGGGAAAATGAAAAATGATTCCTCTTTCTTCAAAAACTTTGTAGACTTACTAACCGCCCCAAATTAAATGAAGCAAACAAAATAAGGAAAAAATAGATACTTCATCAAAAGACAAACGTGGTGAGAATGTGGATGGGAGAAGCAGATCGAAAGCTTAATAATAGATTTTCAGAGACTTGGGAAAGACCAGTTATTTCCCATTTCCTCTGCAAGCAGGAAAAAAAGAACTTGGCTTAAAATATAGCATGAAGGCGATTAAAAATTAATAATTAGCTGTGGAATGAAGACCTAAGGTAGGATATTGATGATGCTTGTGGAGTCACCAATTCTGTTAGTCTTAAAGAAAAATAGGGAGCTCATTGTTTCCTGGAAATGATCCTTTAATACTTGAGAAGTAGTGCAACACAGTGTTCACGAGTCAGGGTTCTGTAATCTGGCCAGCCTGATTTATCTCTTGACTTTACCACATTTACGAGCTGTGTGAATCTGAGCAGCTTACCTAAGCTTCTTAAACTTCATTTTTCTCATTTCTATAGAAGGGATATATTATCCGTAATAAAAGTGTAGATCAAGCTTTTAGCACAGTGTTTGGCACATACTTAATACATCTTAGCTATTACTGTCGCTGTTGTGTTTAGATAAGCTCCGGCTTGAAAATAGAACTGTGAGTTCCATTGTATTTCCATTCCCTTTCAGGCAAAAAGACATGTAATGGACGTTTGTCATGTTTTTGCTACCTAGAATTTAAATACCTTTTATATTTCGCAGGAATCAGAAGATTTGTACAACCCACAGGGAGGGAGTTATTCCTTCTCCCAACTTCCTGCTGTTGGAGTGGAGGCATGTGACCTTGGCTGGCTGATTAAACGCTCCAGCCTGGGTTTTGAATATGGAAGAACGGTGAGTGAGAAGAGGTCACTGGAGATTATTTTCTGGGGCTGTGTTAGGAATGAAGCCATTGTGGACTTCCAGTGTGTGCCTGGGGATTGCGGAATATGGTAGAACAGTAGCCAGTCTCCAGTGGTAATAGCACCTCTAGTAGCATCATAAATAGACTATTTCTGTGCTGGAGTCTTAGCCATTCCTAGATTCCTTTGGCTTTTGTCTGTATTCCCAAGCTTGGCTCTCTAGTCATTCTAATGATGCTATGATGTATCTATCAGCTATTTCCACAATAATTCTGCATGACAATTCTCCACCTAAAAAAAGCTCAACGACATTCAACTTGAATATTTGTTTCAAACTCCTGTGAATGCAGTTTAAAAGGAGATTGGCCCTTCTAGGCTGGACTTAATTGGGCTCAACTCCAAGCTATGGGTAAGCCAGGTCTGTTCCACATTTTCTTGGTCTTCCATGGACCGGCACCTATTGGAGGCATGTCCTGATGGTAAAAGGCAAGAATGCATGACAGCAGGCCCAAATGAGCAAGCACATTGCAAGTATCTGCTAACATCCCATTGGCCAGTGCAAATCACATAGTTAAGCCCAACATCAATAGGTTGGGAAAATATGCACTGCCTCTAATGCAAGGAACTGCAAAGTCACAGGGAGTGGATACTGCAAAGTCTAAGGGAAGGGTGAGAAATTGAGAACATTAAAGCAGTTGACCACATGTGAGTTCCTCAATATCCTTCCAACAAGTCATTTCTGCTTGAATTAGTGCTTGTTTCTATTTTTTGTAGCAAAAAACCTTGATATATAGTACAGAGACTATTAAAGGACTCAATTGTGTTTCTCTGTAGAGTTCATGAGAATCTCAAATCGTTATCTGGCCTGCATAGAGCTTAAGGCAATGGAAATCTGGTGTCTTTTGGTATACTACAGGATAGCAATCTGGCAGCCTATGATATATAGCTGCAACATGGTTTGTTAAATTATTCCCTGTTGTGGCCTGGGATGGAGTACCCACTGAAGGCCACTAAGTGACTACTGTCCTTGAATACTATACAGGACACGCATTATTCAAAGAATGCAGGCTTGGGGGTTCAAATCTAACAGTACTAGGTAACTTAAAAAAGAATAATAAACTCAAATCACTATATTCTTGTCTCAAGGCAAAAACTGAAAACCAAGAACTGTCTATGACTGCTAAAATAACCTGCTTTAAACATTTTATACCTGCAGTGCTGAGGTTGTGAGCTGAAAAGCAAATGTGAAGACTCTGTGCTTTGCCAAACTGCAGCATCAGTTAAGTATACAATGTTTACAAATCTCTTGGAGCATTGATTGAGAAAGAATGGGCTTCTTGGGACTGGAATGGTTATTTCACGTTGTAGCATTTGGAAGAACTGGAGCTCTCCAATCTCCATAGCCTGCTGAGACTGAAACAAGCTAGTTTTCTTTGTCTAAAGGTACTGTTCCAGCTTGGCTTAAAGACACCATGTTTCCCTTGCCTGTTTTGCAAAAGAACCTCCATTTTCCCCATTCCCTTCCCTCTCACCTCTTGTTTTGTCCAGACCCGTAGGTAGAGTCAGATTGCAGGATGCCTATGGGTCTGAAGAAGTCTCACACACAAACAGCAGTACATTCTTTGTTAATTTGTATCAGCAAAAAACAAATGTGAGCAGTACGTGTGAGAACGGATTCCAAAGATTCTAGAACAATTAGGGAAGAATATAAATATAGATCAGACTAATTTATTTAAAAATCTGGAAGGCACCAGAGATTCTGGATTCAATATGCCAGAGCAGTAGAAATGATTTTAAATGTAATTTGAGATGCCATAAAGTCTTCTATGTAACAATGAGGGAGACACGCTGGCGTGAATTTATTGTGTGTGATCCATTCACCACTCACCTTCCGTCTATAATCCATAGGAAGGCAGAGAAGACATGCCTTTCCTAAGGCCTTAAAAAAAAAAAGTCATTTGTGAGGGAAGCACTAGCATTTCTGAAAAATATTTTAGTGGTACAGAGGTAAGCTGATGACACTATGGGCTCTCTGATTTCAATGCTGTGAAAGTGTCTAAGATGTAAGACACCAATGAATAGGATCTGATCATTAGAAGCACAGTAGAAAAGGCACTCACACATTAGGATCAGGGTGGTGAGCTAAATGTCCTGACTCAGGATGAACTTTAATTATGAATTTCTGTTCACAGAGTCTCAGGGACTGAAGTAGCCGTAGCTCAGTAAGTAGCTGTTTGATTTGTTTAACTTAAACAAAATCCAAACAAAGAAAAAATTTTGAGGGCTCTTTGAGAGACACAGCTCTTTGATCAATTCTCAGATATGAGTCAGTTCACAGATCTGAAGCTTTAGTAAAGTGGATGCCTAGGGACCCATAAAGAAGAACCTCACAATACCATCATGTGCATGTGTGTATGAACTTCATTCAGTCTTCTTTAAAGGGACTTGCAGACATCTAACAAGATAACACTCAGAGGTTTGGGGCTTATTTATCACAATATCAGAGAGACCCAGAAAGAAACTTCAGTCATAGTTGAAGTTTAAAGTGTCAAGTGATAAGTGGAAATTTGACTTGAGTCTGTCTCACAGTAGGTCCATCTCTGGGCTCATCCTAAAGTTCTTTCCCTCATTGCTAAAGGTAGATATACAAATATTCAGCAAATGAGAATTTTCACACTCACTTGGTGATATACAGAGTATTATATTTGTAGCAAAGGCGCTCATTTCTTACCAACATAGTAAATACAAAATTCTGAGTAGTGGAGGCGGTGGTAGGCACATAGATCTAACAGTCTTAACTTCTGAAATAAATAAACAAAAAACTATATAAAACCCATGCCCACAGCATAACTAGAAAACAGAGAACATCCAAATTTCAAAATACTTGTAAGTAGATAAATAAACACCAAATCCTAGCAAGCTATCTCCTACTTTTCCTACCACACAATTTGGGTAACACAAAGACAGTTCTGGAAAAGCTACGTTAAAGAGAGCATAGGCAAGTTTGTGGCAAGCCTAAAGTGATTGAAAAACAATACCAAAAAGAAAGTCTACACAGAAGCAAAAATACTGAAACTGTATATTGTTTCAGAGCATGGTCTACAGGGAAAAGGCTAAAAGTGCATTCATGATCTATGGTGTCAGTCTTGGGAAAGTTATGTTTCATAGGAAAAATATGGCTAGAGGGAATGAAGAGATGCCTTTTGGAAACTGGGCAGAAAAGGGAAAAATAAGCAAGAGGAGAAAGTTCAGTATTTTTAAAGATTATAAAATAAAAGTAAGAAGGAGTACAAAACTCTTTCTCATATCTTCTTTCGCACATGAGCCCCTCACCCCCAAATCAGGAAAGAAGCATTCTTTGCTACAATGACTGAGGATATGATTTTGAACCTGGAATCTCATAAACCACACAACCACCAGCCCTGTGCATAGAATACAGGGAGGTACAGTCTATCATCTATCTATTTATCTCTATCTATCTATCTATCTATCTATCTATCATCTACCTACGTGCCCATGAGTACTTTTTTAAAAAACCTGGAAAATTAAAACCCAAACAATTCAACTAAGGAACAGTCTCCCAATAAAACAAGAATATGAAGATTAAATTACAAGTTGCCTAAGGGAGAATAAGTACAATTGAAAACAGTGTAAGGGGCATTTAAGGAAAACAGAGAAGATAATGAAAATCAGATACAGAAAATAGTAAAAAAGTCAGAAAGAAAATGGTTCAAATGAAAAACAAGCAAAGAAGAAATAACATATGTATAATCAGAGTCCTGAAGAAGATTTTTTTTTTTTTTTTTGAGGAAAATTAGCCCTGAGCTAACTGCTGCCAATCCTCCTCCTTTTGCTGAGGAAGACTGGCCCTGAGCTAACATCCATGCCCATCTTCCTCTGCTTTGTATGTGGGATGCCTACCACAGCATGGCTTTTGCCAAGTGGTGCCTTGTCCACACCTGGGATCCAAACTGGCGAACCCCGGGCTGCTGAGAAGTGGAACATGAGAACTCAACAACAGCGCCACCAGGCCGGCCCCAGAAGAAGAAGATTTTAAAACAACAACCAGGAAACAGAAATTGTATTTAAAAGTATAACTTATTCTTTCCACTTTCACTGACTAAGGAAGCTCCGATCAGACAAACTCTTCTACAGTTAAAAGCTATAAACTCTAGGGGCTGGCCCCATGGCTGAGTGGTTAAGTCTGTGCGCTCCGCTGCAGGCGGCCCAGTGTTTCGTTGGTTCGAATCCTGGGCACGGACATGGCACTGCTCATCAAACCACGCTGAGGCAGCGTCCCACATGCCACAACTAGAAGGACCCACAATGAACAGTATACAACTATGTACTGGGGGGCTTTGGGGAGAAAAAGGAAAAAATAAAATCTTAAAAAAAAAAAAAGCTATAAACTCTGAAAAAATACAAAAGTTACTTATGAGAGAGAGAAGAGAAGCAGGCATATTTTATGAAGTCCAGCTTGGGAGCAAGAGCTGTATAGGGTGAGTTCTCTGTGTTTCTTCTTTCAGCCTAGGGCAGGTGCAGTTGATATGACACTGGTGGAAAACTAGTCTTTTTGGTTAGAGAAACGAGGATTTAGATTGGAACACATAGCCACTAGAGAAGAAGAGATATTTCCTAATGAGAGAGAGCCAGAGAGGGAACATTTCATTTATGTCTGCCTCCATCTCGGGATGACTTATGAACCATGAATGGTTGAAGCACGCTCAAGAGAGCTTAGCTAAAAAGAAAAACCACAAAAATTATTATCTAAGATTGGAGCTGACTCCCAGGAACACATTTGCAGTTTAATTCCAACCAAGTTAAATACCTACTAAAACAAACAAAAGCAGCAAAACTTAAAATCAACATTCATCAGCAAAAAAATAACTGAATCTAGAATCTCCTCAGTTTAACATTAATAATGTCCAGAATACAATCCAAAATCACCTGACATATGAAGAACTAAGAAAATAGAACCCATTCTCAAGAGAAAAAAACAATCAGTGTAGACCAAATCTGAGGTTATCCAGATTTTAAAATTAGCATACAAATATTTTAAAGAAGCTAATGTTTGTATCCTCAGTGATGGAAAAGAAAATATGGTTGCTGTGAATTCAAAGAGATACGGACTGAAAGTGAAGGGATAAAAAAAGATATTCTATGCAAAAGGAAATCAAAAGAAAGCAGAGATTTCTATATCTATGTTAGACAAAACAGACTTCAAGCCACAGACTGTAACAAGAGACAAAGAAGGTCAGTACAAAATGATAAAGAGATCAATCCAACAAGAGGACATAGCGTTTGTAAATATTTTATTGCAGCCAATCTAGACGCACCTAAATATATAAAGCAAATCAGACCTGAACGGAGAAATAGAAAGCAATACAATAATAGGGGACTTCAATATCCACTTTCAACAATGGATCAATCATCCAGACAGGTAATCAATATGGAAACATTGGACTTAAACTACACATTAGATCAGATGGACTCAACAGACATTTACAGAACATTCCATCCCAAAGCAACAGAATACACATTCTTCCAAAGTGCACATAAACATTCTCCAGGATAGACTGTATGTTATCACCAGTCAAAATTAACATTGCTAGTAATCGGATTAATCGACAGCACGTGCTTTCTGATGTTACGCACTAAGAAGGCAGTCTCATCTCTATTGCTTTCCTGCCAACGAGGCGTAACTCGAATCCACCCATAAGGAAGCATCAAACAAACACAAATTGAGGAGCAGTCTGTGAAATAACTGATCTGCTCTATTGTTCTTTGTTGCTGTTGTTTTCACCATGGAGGTCATCACTATAAAACTGGCAACATCTGAGTGAGGTCTGTGGAATTAGATAATGTATCATCCCTGTTAATTTCTTGATTTTCATAATTATCCTATGGATATTCAAGAGAATTCTACGGTTTAAGAAAATGTATGCTATAGTGTTTGGGGTAAAGGAGCATCACGTGTGCTATTTGCTCTTAAATAGTTCAGAAAAAATAATAGTGAGAGAGAGAAAATAAGAAGAAGAAGAAAGAAAATGGGAGAGCGATAGCGGAGAAGGAAAAAAGAGAAGAAAGGATAAAATGACTCTGGGTGAAGGGCATTGGAGGACTTTTGTGCTATTCTTGAAACTTGTATGTAACTTTAAAATTACATCAAAAATAGAAGAAAAAATAAACATTTGTAATGGGAATAAGTATTATGAGACAGATGCTGAGGGAAGCCACGTGATGCAAGGCATGAAATCTGCATGGGTGGTAATTACAACCATGTGTCCATTGAACTTTCCAGCTTGACCAATGGGGAAGATGGATTGGCCTTGCAGAGCCCATTAGTAATTGTAAATTTAATCAGGAATTGACACCAATTAAAACTGCTGCTCCATATGTGATCTCCTTATTAGAACAAATCAATAGAGCCCTTGGGACCTCACATAAAGCTACTGATTTGGTAATTTTTTTTCTGTGCTGACAAAGAGCAGCTTCCAGAGATAGCAGTATGAATGACTCCCTTTTCTTGGAGTTATGTACACCATTTAGCTTTGTCCCAGGTAAACATCTTGACCAGCAGAAATGCATTTCATGTCAATAGGAATG